TAATAAATGGTCTCTTACTTCATACCAAGACTGTTTGAAACTTTGAAGTGATGACTTTCATATTCAAGGTTAATTTGTTCGCAGAAGGTTCTTATTTGCAATCTTTCAAGCATAAAAGATGAGGCTTAGACTTGTCATTGTTGAGGAATGGAGATATCTATATATTTTATACGTATTTGGTCCAAAGCTTGAATCGTGCATGATCTCTATGCTGCATGCAAGTTCGCATGTTAGCTGCTTTTTAAATTCTCTTTTAGTTACTCTTTTAGTTAGTTCTTTTTTTGTTAAGAAAACGTGAGTGTGTCTTATGTATGAAGGCACATTTCTTTCTTTGTTTCTAATTCCGTAGGAAAATGATGTTATTTAGCTCTGCACTGTTGACTGTTATAAGCCGATATTTTGTATTCTTTCCATTTTGAGCTAGAAATATGAGATAACGAGTTCCCATAACTGATTTCACTACAAAATTGATCTTCAACATGGTGGTACTAGAACGGTCGATTCTGAGATTTCAGAGGTGAGATTTGCCGATTTGAGCTACGATTTACAATTTAGAGCTGCTATTTCACTGGTTAGTTGTGAGCTGCGAACAAGATTGATAATGGCGCAACGAAGGAATATGCATGGCCTTGTTGATACAAACACATCATCTGGATCGAAGGTTTTTGAGCAGGATCCATCGTTTCTACATGGATCGGATCACTCTGGTATAGTGCTAGTCTCGAATTCTTTAGCTGTAAATAATTTTCTTTTGATGATAATTGCTTTCAAAGGAAAAATGTCGATTGGATTGTCCTGTCATGGATATTGAGTTTCTCTTTGAAAGGAAATTGCAGAATCTTTCATGTACCTTGATTCATCCAAGGATCTATAGGGGAATATTTGTCGGAGATATGAACAATGGCACTATGAAATACAAGCTTCAGAGAGAAATCTCGAGTCTTAATCAAGGGAATGATGCAGTGATGGAGTATTTCTCTAAACTTACGAAATCATGGGAAGAATATACCTATATAACACATGTGGAACTTTGTGATTGTGATAAAAGCAAATTAGTTGCTCATCATGAATTTGAAACTAAGCTGATTCAATTTCTAAAGGGACTTAATGACAGCTATGATAATATGAAGAATCTGATCATGCTATTGAATCTTTTACCCACTGTAAATAAGGCCAACTCAATGATACTCACAGCTGAGAGGTAAAGATCAGTACAAAATATGTATAGTGAGAGAATGGATAGTGCAGCAATGGTTGCAAGAACATATGGATATAGATGGATATGGCAGAGGTAACTTTGTGCCCGGGAGAGGAGGAAATACGGGCAGAGGAAGAGGTAATGCGTAATGGAGATCAATGGGGAGGAGGTAGAGGTAGAGGAGAGCACCTAGGCTCACAAAGGAAGAGAAGACAAAACTAGTGTGAAAAGTGTGGTATGAATGGGCATGATTTAAAATCCATGGTGTGCCAGATTGGTATAAGGACCTTAAGGAACAACAAGGTATGAACTATGCTAACAATATGGGTGACAAACAGTGAAGTGTGGCAAAAGAAGAGGATGAGTGACAAGGGAGTTGATTTGACAGACGTTCGTGAGATCACACAATACATCAAAGAAAATGAAAATGTGGGCAACATGGATTATGCTCAGTTTGTCAGCTTTGCAGGTAAAGAGAAATGAAAATATACATTATGCTTTGTCAACCATGGCTAATAATCTTGCAGAGGAGTGGATAATTGACACGGGAGCTAGTAGGCGTATTTGCTCAGATGATAGAATGATTCAGAACCTTCAAGAACTTACGAATCCTATTAATGTCTGTTTACCAGATGGGACTCTAAAAAGGGTGGACAGTAAAGGGATGGTGAAGTTAAATGACTTGATAACACTGAATGCCATCATTCAAATATAACTTGCTCTTGATTACACAGTTATGTGCAAACCTCACATTACATTGTTGTTTGTAGGACCAGAAGAGTGAAAAGGGTGCTAGGTATGGGAAGACTTAAAGGAAATCTCTATGTCTTTCAAAGACGATGATGAGACGAGGAACAAGGCTTAAATCTTTCTTTTGAAACTTGGCATAAGAAGTTGGGACATGCTTCAATTTCAACTGAAACATTTTGATTTCCTCAGAAGTGCTTGTAATGAGAATAATAAGAGGTTGATTCAAGCTTTTGGTGTTTGTTTTAAGTCCAAACAACACCATTTTCCTTTTCCAAATAGTCAAATACATGCTGAAGAGGTTTTTGCATTGATACATATGGCCATCTGGGGACCATGTAAGGAACGAGCCTTGACTAATACACCTTTTTTTTCCTTAATTTGGTGGATGACTTCAGTAGAGGGACTTGGGTGTTTCTTATGAGCAAAACAAGAGGCTTAGTAAGATCCTTTATCAGTGTGGTGGAAAATTAATTTAATACTAAAATGAAGAAGATTAGAACAGATAATGGTTAGGAATTTCTACACTAGGACTTACAGAATTGCCTCAATGAAAAGGGAATCTTACAAAATTGGACTCCATTTCACACGGTTAAACAAAGCTATGATAAAAGCCTATAGCCTATAGTGATGCAGAGTGGGTTGCTTGTAAAGATACAAGGAGGTATATTATCGGGCGTGCTATTTTCTTGTTAGATTTTCTCATTTCTTGGAAGAGTGAAAATTAAACGACAGTTTCTAGATCTTCTAGATCTTCAGCAGAGGCAGAGGTATGGAGTATCGTGCTCTTAGTTCTACTGTCTCAGAAAGTTTGATGTGGATTTCTTATATTGCACGAGATTTTCATTTGGACTTCATCTATCTTATTCTTCTTGGGCTGTTGGAATTGTGATGATCTTTGAATCATGCATGATCACTATGTTGCATTCAAGTTCTCACTGCTTATAAATTATCTTTTAGTTAGTTACTTTTCTGTTAAGAATACGTGAGTGCGTCGCATGTGTGTGAAGGCGTGTTTCTTTTTTTTTTTTTTAATTATGTAGGC